CACACACATATATATATACATATATACATACACACACACATATATATATATATACATACACACACATATATATATATACATACACACATACACATATATATATATACATACACACACACATATATATATATATATATTGCACAAGTACGGTTTTAATTTATTTAAAGTATAACATTTTTACCATCCTCCTGAGTTCTTCCAATCACGGGATCAGACCGGGGACCTGCACCTTTTCTGTTGAAAGCCTGGACAACTACAGTGTAAGAAGTATATTTTTCCAATCCCCGAAGTTCACATTCGATTCGAGAGACGACTGACGACTCATTTTTCACAGTTTTATATTGAAAAGAGTTTGTGGTATTGGTTATTTTGTACCCTATGTAATAGCCCTGGATTATCCCATTACTCAACCCGTAAGGTAACGCCTGTAAAACAAAAACAATATAATTAACACTAACAACACAACAAAAATCACAACTTTTTGTCATGTAAAGCTGTTTTGAAATAGAAATTTTGGTTAATTTTGTCTTTCATTGATATAAAAAGTTGCATTCAATACAATTTCGAATTAGTAACCTACTTTAAAGACCTGGATTGTTATCTCCTGAACCTTAGCTATTGTTTGGTTGTTTTAGTGCAAAGTTACACAATGAGCTGTTTGTGCTCTGTTCACTGCAAGGATCTAACCCCGGATTTTAGCGTTGTAAGTCCAACTCTGTAAACCTACCGCTGAACCTGGACCTAAGACATTTTGTTTGTAGTTAAGCGCAAAGCTGCACAATGAACTACCTGTGCTCTGCCCACCACGGGTATTGAAACCCGGTTTTTAGAGTTGTAAGTCCGCAGACATACCGCTGCTGTGCCACTGGCGGGCGAACCTTAGACCTTGCTTTTCTTCTAGCACAGAACATGAATATATGTTATTTCAATCTCTTCAATACACGTATTAGATTGAAAACTCACAACCCTTATATTTAATTTCGGTTATAAAATTTGAAATACATCGTATATTTGTTTTTAAAGTTCTTTGCAATATTTAAAAAAAGTAGCTTGAATTCATATCTTATCCCCTGATCTTTATCAAGCATCGTACTGAATTCATATCTTATCCCCTGATGTTTCTCAAGCATCGTATTGAATTCATATCTTATCCCCTGATATTTCTCAAGCATCGTATTGAATTCATATCTTATCCCCTGATGTTTCTCAAGCATCGTATTGAATTCATATCTTATCCCCGAATCTTTCTCAAGCATCATAAAAGGAACATCAGTTTCATTAAAGTAAAAAATTACACAAACAAGTAATAAATAAATATTTGACGAATATCAAGTTACAAATAATGATCTAAAAACGTTATCGGCGAATGAAGTACATAATTATTTATGATAAATCCAATCAACACCCAAGATTTGGACAAAGCGACTTAAAAGTTTGATTAACTTACCTTCCACGACACATGTAAAGATTGCGGTTTAATAGCTTCCACTCGAACATCCTCAGGAGGACTTTCCGGTACTTAAACATTAAGGGAAAAAGAAAACTTCTTAAAAATAGTTTGGTCCGAATTGTAAACTAGATATAACAGCAAAACTGTTTCAATTTTATTAAACAATTTATAAATTCAAACAACTTGAAATGATCAAATAAGATGTAATAAACTCTCTCGATAGCGATGTTTTATGGGCAACATTATAAAGACAATGCATAAAAATGAATAATATGATCACCACACAATGTGACATGTATACAACACGTTTGTTTGTTTTGTTGAACGTCGCGCAACGATACTCGAATGTTATCTGTGCTAACCGTCCCTAATTTAGAAATGATAAACTAGAGGAAAGGCAACTAGTCAACACCACTCACCGTCAACTCTTGGGATACTCTTTACCAGCGAAAAATGGAATTCACCGTCACATTGTAATGTCCCCCACTGCTGAAATGCGAACATGTTCAGTGAAACGATTACTGGTTGATAGTATGAGTCCACTTATTCATACACAAATCTACTTTCGACAAAGTTCTAAAGAAATAGAAGATCTCTGGACATGCAAATTTACAATAGGAGGCAACTCGTTCCAAACTAGTCACTTCTATGGAATGCGAACTTCGAAACTAATTGTGAAACTAAACTACACAACTGTCTGTAAATCCTTCTCCACAGGGCTTTACTTAGGGTTCATGATTGTAGGGTTATTCGCTTCGTACTTCCACGGACGAGCTGCAGCCCATAAGCCACTTAAATTAGCCACAAATACAAGACATCCGACTCCCATGTTGTCTTGAGTATCAAAACTGAAATAATGAACAAGGCAAACTATCTTGTGGACTAATGTATCCAGTTGCCTAGTGATTGTTTTTGGTTTGATGTACCCTTGAGGCTGCTTTGAAATTCATATCCTGGGTGCGGGGAGTGGCAAGGGTAATATGAGAGTGTGAACCTGTTTTGGCAGGTTTATTAGTATAACTAAAAAAGTCACGATAATTTGTCGTATTGTGACATTCTAAACAATACTGTACTGCTTTTATTGATAGAATTATATGGGAAAGAGTCATACTTCTTTCAGCATGACAATACTCTATCTTATTCTAAACAATACTGTACTGTTTTTATTGATAGAATTATATGAGAAAGAGCCATACTTCTTTCAGCATGACAATACTCTATCTTATTCTAAACAATACTGTACTGCCTTTATTGATAAAATTATATGAGAAAGAGTCATACTTCTTTCTGCATGACAATACTCTATCTTATTCTAAACAATACTGTACTGCCTTTATTGATAGAATTATATGAGAAAGAGTCATACTTCTTTCAGAATGACAATACTCTATCGTTAGGACACGCCATGTTTAGCAGTAGTTTAGACATATAACAACTAGTATTTCCCCAAAGTCAGGAATATGAATACAAATGAACCATTTTGGAATGTTTTGGAGCAGGAGGAATATATTCCGGATCTTCCCTTTACCCGGAGTTGCCTTGCAAACGAAATAGGAGTTTATTTCTACTTAATCTGTACAAAAGATCTAATGAGGCTTAAATGGCAAAAGACGCCTCTATCTCGAGGTGTGCTGCTATATGTATATATTTATATAATATAATAATTTACCACGAGCGATTCAAATACTTCAACATATTAGAATGTGAAGTTAAAAGTTAATGTCGGTGATACGCATTGCATACTTTTTTAACATCTACACGACTTTATGGAGAAAATAAATAACTAAATTGCTTTGAATAGTTTAATCTACGTCCTTACTTTCCTCCTCAGTTGAGAACATAAAAATGTTTCCTGGTTGACTTGTCCCGATGACATTTCTTGCCAACATTCGAACTTCATAAGTCTGCGCTGGATACAAGTTGTGGATTCTAAAAGATGTTTCATTGGCTAGAACTGTGTGTGTTTCCCATATCGTAGAGACACCTGATAAAATATTTAAGTTTTGTTTTACATCACTTGTAAGTTATACATTTGTAATATCGGTTTTTATTCTTATTTTCTAGAGTTATGTATGTATGTTTGTTTCCTTTTGAATTTCATGCAAAGCTACACAAGGGCTATCTGCGCTAGCCGTCCCTAATTTAGCAGTGAAAGACTAGAAGGAAGGCAGTTAGTCATCACCACCCACCGCCAACTCTTGGGTTACTCTTTTACCAACGAATAGTGGGATTGACCGTAACATTATAACGCTCCCACGGCTGAAAGGGCGAGCATGTTTGGTGGGATGAGAATTCGAACCCGCGACCCTCAGATTGCGAGTCGAGCACCGTAACTGCCTGGCCATGCCGGGCCTTGCTAGTTGACTTTCTGTTTATTTAGCTAATAGTGCGATAAGGTATAAAAACAAATCAACATCAACTAGAATCTACTCCTGATGTACAATAAATAAATAAACAAACGAAACGTGAGCAGAGAAATCATGAATGGTGATCAGTGACTCTTTACCTTTAGATCTCCACTGTATGGTGTAGTTGACTATTAAGCTATTTCCGCTAAATGGTGGACTCCACGTGATTGCCACTTCTCGACTTCCGGTTTCAAGAAGTTTGATTTCTCTAGGAGAATCAGGTGGCTCTGAAAAGGTAAACAATAAATTGATAAATAAACAGACAGATACATGGAATCAGAGACACATAAACAGGTCGATGTGGCCTGTCAGTTAAAGAGCCACTTTTATAGATATTTACTTCACTTTAGAAGAAAATCCTCTATTGATAAAATTGCAGGCACAAAATTTCATCCAGCCTCTAAAATCTTTCTTAACAGTTACCTCACGATCAAATCTTTAATGGTAAACTACACGACATCAAACTTTAGTGTTTAATCCTCGGGTCTACATTCTGTTTCATACGACATCCAAATTCAGAAGAAAAAAAAACCCTGTATTCTAAATCTAATAGTCTATCAAAGTCATTACCCTAATCTACAATGAATTCCAAGCACTATTCACCTTGAATTATTAATTTAATGTTTGTCTCATCTGTTCTATAATTGTTCGACTAAATCTAATAGTCTATCAAAGTCATTACCCTAATCTACAATAAATTCCAAGCACTATTCACCTTGAATTATTAATTTAATGTTTGTCTCATCTGATCCATAATTGTTCGACTAAATCTAATAGTCTATCAAAGTCATTACCCTAATCTACAATAAATTCCAAGCACTATTCACCTTGAATTATTAATTTAATGTTTGTCTCATCTGATCCATAATTGTTCGACTAAATCTAATAGTCTATCAAAGTCATTACCCTAATCTACAATAAATTCCAAGCACCGTTCATCTTGAATTATTAATTTAATGTTTGTCTCATCTGATCCATAATTGTTCGACTAAATCTAATAGTCTATCAAAGTCATTACCCTAATCTACAATAAATTCCAAGCACCGTTCACCTTGAATTATTAATTGAATGTTTGTCTCGTCTGATCCATAATTGTCCGACTAAATCTAATAGTCTATCAAAGTCATTACCCTAATCTACAATAAATTCCAAGCACCGTTCACCTTGAATTATTAATTGAATGTTTGTCTCGTCTGATCCATAATTGTTCGACGCTCTACAGGTATACAAGGAGGAGTCGCTCCGAGACGCCGAAAATATCTGTAGTTGAGATTTCATTCCCCGATTTTCTGCATGTTGTCTTATTTCGATTCTGTGTAACATTAGAAAACGATAAAATTTAGGTACAGAAAATAATTGGTCAAAGCACCATTCAAGTCACGTGGGTGGGCTAGATAAAAGGAAATGAAATGTGTAATATCTGCTGGAGTAGTGTTTCTAAACCTATAGGTTGTCAGAATGTGTGAAAAGGTCAGAACAGACATTGAAAATAAATATTTTATTTATTCATTTGATAAGCCAGATGTTTTTTTTAATTATTATTTTGCATTAAAGTTATTTACTGGGTTGCGATTGGTCATCAATTTATGAGTGTGTCCTAGGCCAAATAGAGTCAGAGGAAAAACACTGTTTTACGTTTTGGAATAAATTTCTAAATTTATAAGTCATTTCAATAATATAACAATACTAAAACAAAGAGGGCCGTTACATTTCCATCATAGTTCAGTAGAAACATCAAATTAATTGTCATGTTTGTTTGTTTTTGAATTTCGCGCAAAGCTACACGAGGGCTATCTGCGCTA